AGGACTAGAGGCAGAGTGCACAGTGTTGGAAAAGAGCCAGATCCTCTTCTATTCATTGGTAATTACTCTCTAAAAAGTAAGAATCAAGAAAGGACAAAATGAAAAAGGACCAAGAAAGAGAGGACCAGGGATGGAGAGGAACAGGGGTAAGGAGGAAGACAGGAAGGGAGGAAAGAAGGGAGGAGGGAGGGAGGGAGGGGGAGGGACCCTCCTGCTGCATGCTGTCAGGGGACATTCTTCGTCGGCCTCATCATGACCACCTCCACCATTACCCCAGGGACAGCATCAGCCGCTCTCTCCCCGCAGCTCACCACGTCAGAGTTCTGCACGCTCTGCAACGGCTGGCCCTGTTCACACATATGGATAACGGGGACTGGATTTACGCTGCCGCTCACTTGAAAGAACCCCCCAAAACCAGACACAGTGAATGAAACGCAGGGTGTAAAGATGACGGGTATCAAGTGATGACGGGCAGTGATCTCTGGGACTTGAGAAACGAGAGGTCTGCCCTGCGTTTGCCGCAGCCGAGTGTCCGGACAGGGAGTTCCCTGGCAGAGCCCCCATGGACAGCCCGAGTTGAGGAGATGGGGAGATGGAACCGAAATTCTCAGCACCTGGAGTGAGCGAGGTAGAGGACCGCAGGGAAGAGCGTGGCGCAGGGCGAGGACGCTGCCTAAGCGCAGAGGGTCCCCTGGAGTATTCCGCAGACCACGGCTCAGCACAAGCGTGAGAGGGGAGTACATGAGGCCGGGGGAGAACTACCGGGAGGGATGAAAGGGAACCATGCCGGGAGCTCAGGCTGGACAGGGACTGGTGGCTGTCCCCGCCAGCCAGGATGGTAACCCTCACAATTTGGGAGGCATCGGGCAGGGCGCTCCCAAGGGTTTTGCGTCAGTAGTGGCCGGGGGCGGGTGGGGGGGGGCGGCGGGGGGGGGGATGACTCCCATTCTGATAGGGCCCACACAGCAAACCCTCAGAGCCAGACTCTAAAGGGTCCAACTCTTTCCAAGTCACTTAACAGCATCCAGAACTACTGACGGCAAAAAGTATGTCTAGGACTACAAGGATATCCAGCACCCAAGGGAAAATCACAATATCTAGCATCCAGGCTAAAATTACCAGGCATGCAGAGAAGCAGGAAAACACAGTCCGATAATGAGAAAAGGTATCAACCAATAAAAGTCATCCCCATTGAGCCCTGGCTGGTTGGCTCAGTGGATTGAGCACTGGCTTGCGAACCAAAGGATCACTGGTTCGATTCCCAATCAGGGCACATGCCTGAGTTGGGGGCCAGGTCCCCAGTAGGGGGCGAACCAGAGGCCACACATGCTGATACTTCCTTCCCTGTCTTTCTCTCTCCCTTCCTCTCTGTCTAAAAATAAGTAGATAAAATCTTCCAAAAAAAAAAAAGTCATCCACATTGAAAAGGAAGTAAAACTGCCTTTTTTCTAAGAAAACATGGTCATCCTGGAGATAATCCGATGGCCTGTTGAAAAGAGCTGCTATAGTAAGTGAGCTTAGCAAGAGCTGCGCTATACTACACAGGGAACTCACTCCTTCCCATGAAAGGCTGAAACAGTTGTCCCAGCACTTTTCTTCACTGACCTGAGACAAGGCCACTCAGCCCACAAAGCTCTGATTTTATCATATCTGGGCTGTTTGCCCTTCTCGTGCAAACTAGAGTTTTAAAAACGTTCTTGCCAAGGAGTCCCAATAGTGACAAGGATGTGGGAAACCAGCACTCTGGTTGGAGGGTCCATTTTCTCTAGTGCCATTCTGCAGTGAAGATGGAGAGCTTTATAAATCAATCATATTCAACTCAGTAGGTCCACCTCTTAGAAGGTATCTTTGAAAAAATTTTAAAATATGTTTGCTGATTTTACAGAGAGAGGAAAGAAGAGGGGAGACAGAAAAACATTGAGGTGACAGAGAAACATCGGTTGGTTGCCTCCCATACACTCCCGGACCAGGGATCAAACCTAAAACCTAGGTATGTGCCCTGACCGGGAATCAAACCTGCAACCTTTTGGTGTACGGGACAACACTCCAACCTACTGAGCCACACTGGCCAGGGCCTCTGGGAGTCTGTCTTAAGGACATATTCATTCACGCAAACATTTATTCATGAGAATTCCTCTGAATCCTGTAATAGGACAAAAATGGCAACTAATTTAAATGGTCAATAATTACATTGTAAAGTGCCTGTTATGCCTCCATTCAATAATGCATTTGAAGCCCTGGCTGGTGTGGCTCAGTGGGTTGAGTGCAGACCTGTGGGAATCGAAGGGTCGCCAGTTCGATTCCCAGTCAGGGCACGTGTGTGCTTTGTGTGCCAGAGGCCGGGTGGCGGGTGTGTGAGAGATAACAGATTGACGTTTCTCTCCCCCCTTTAGAAATGAATAAATGAAATCCTTAAAAAAAAGATAATGTGTTTGAAGAAGTTTTAGAAAAAAGGAAAAGTTCATGTTACATGAAAAGTTTTAGTAAAAATGTTAAGCTCGCAACAATTTGTTATACATTACGTTATTGTTATACATTGACTATATAAATACAGCTATAAAACTAAGGAATGATTCTAAAATGTTCACAGTAGTTAATACTGAGGGACAAGACCCATCTTCCACTTCCTAAATTGTCTTCGGTTACCTTGTAGTGCTTGAGTACGATTCCCAGACCTCCCCTCCCAGCCTGAGACAAAGCCAAGCCTGTTAAGAGGTGCTGCAGTTGAAAAGAAACTCAAATGGAATAGTAGCTCAGTTGTATTTGCTGCAGAGACAAACACTGAAGCGCTAAACAAAACGAGTGGCCCGCAAGTGCCCAAGGGCCAGTGCAGGCAGAAGATTAGGGCCCCATAGGAAAGTGGCACCTACTGCAGGAATCCCTGCTGTGGCAAGGGTCCACTGTCTAGGGCCGGATACAAGGTTGGGCCTCAGCCCCCCTTTTCCCAGCCCAGGTTTGGCGGGGAAAGAGGGGGCCCAAAGCGCTGCATGGTCCCCATCACCGGGGAAAGCTGGTCAAGAAAGTTGATGATGGAAACTCGGAGGGCTTCAATATATGAATTTGAGGTGTGGAGGGGACCCACGCATTCAGTCCAAGGTACCGGTGAACTAATGCATATGGTCACCCCGGCTACCAGGTAAACCTAGGATGAAGTACGTGTGAGGCCTGCTGGTGTCAAGTCCTCTTACCTGAGGACCGGTTCCGGACACCTTGACAACGTGTGTGTAATGAGTTACAGCTGCTTGGCTGTGCAAAGGGGTTAGACTGCTTTCTGTCTTTGGAATCTCTAATGCAGATTGCCTGTGATGTATGTACACCACGTTCTGGTGCAATGGTTACTCAACAATAAGGCTGTTTTTCTTCTACTTTCATGGAGACGTTTTCTGGGTGGGCAGCAGATTGTGTTCTTCTGCCCTGAAAGGACCTGAAAAGAGCCCTCTTTGTAGGTGAGGAGTGAGGCCAGGGGAGCAGGCCAACGGGTAGCACCAGTGTACGTCCATTTCGAAGAGGGTCAAATAAGGTTTCAACATGTAAAAGGATCTGGGAGTACAGGGAGCCCCTGGAAAGCCAGGACTGGGTTTCTTACCAACCTTCTTTCCTCTTCTACTTTTCCGGCATTGGTCCATTTCTGCATCTTTCATTAGCCACGTGGATGTTCCCCGGAGCCATCGGGAGGAAAAGCACCATCCCAGCCTCCTCGTGGCTCCACGCCGCAGTGCTGAGGTTGGTATGATACCACGGCTAAGACACTGGGTGCTCGAATCAAACAGACCTACATTCAAATCAGGCCTCTGCCACTTCCTAGCTCAGTGACCTTGAGAAAGTTGCTTAGCTTGTCTGATCTGCAATTCTTCACCCATAAAAGGTATGTTAGTGCTTAGCTCACTGCATTGTTGTGAGAATGATATGTAATGATGTAGGCAAAGTACATATCAGATTGCCTGTGCACAGATGACTCTCTTTTTAATTGTATTTCCCCAAGACTACACTATGCTGTCCCCTCCCCCTCCCCCCCTCCAAGCTCTTAACCAGTTGTCCCAGCACTCTTCTCCTCTGACCTGAAACAAGGACAGTAAAGCAAGAAGTTCATATTCCAGTCTTTCTGGTTTCCTTGCTCTGTTCATGCAAACTGAGTGCTTTTAATTTTTTTATTTTAAATTTAATTTGGCATTGTCATTATTAGTATTGCAGCAGGAAACACATACAGCAGTGACCAGAGTGTGGGGAAACCAGCATTCTTGTGGGGGTGGGCACGTTTCCTGGAGAGCAGTTTTGTATTATAGATGTCCCTCTGGGAATCTACCTTAAGGAAACAGCCAATCAGGCAGAGACTTGTAAACAAAGATTGCAGTAAAACATTATGTATGCTAGGGGAAAATGAGAAAGATTTAAGTGTTGAGCGATGACATAATGCATCTGTGCATTCTGCATATAATGCATCTATGTATAATGCATCTTCTATGCCTCCAATCAATAAGATGTTTCGAAGAGTTTTTCGACAGAGGTAAGGCCCAGATATTCGATGAGGACATTTCAGGGGAGAAAAAACAACTAATGTTAACCTGATAAGCCTTGCTTGTTTACACGACTACTACACATTAACGTAGACACACACCTCTATAAAAGTACTCCAAAATGCTGATGGCAGTTAATGCTGAAGGAGAAGTAGCAAGTAATTTTCATTTTCTTTCATTTCCTAATTTGTATTCAGTTGCCTGTACTACTTGAATATTTGAACCCCAGAACCTCTCCCTCCAACCCAGGGACAAAATCAAGAAAATCTGGATGCTGAAAAGAAACTCAGACACAAAACTTTAGCTCAGCTTTATTATCTGCAGGAGGGAATATTTCAGGCACCAATCCAAACAAGAGAGTGAGAGCACCCAAGAGCCAGTACAGGCAAACAATTAGCCCGGTTCCCCCCAGTAAAGTCGCAACTACTGCAGAAATCACGGCCTTAGGGATGGATGCACCGCCTAAGGTCAGACACTCTTGTGGCTTCAATCTGCTCTTTTGTACTGAAAGTTAGCAACATCCGGGAACACAATGTGCTGCATGATCCGTGCCACTATGAGGAGCTGGGTGAGCAAGTAGAAAGTGGAAATTTGCAGGAGCTCAGCATCTTCGGAAGTTAATCGGCTAAGAGTGAGGGGAAAAGAAAATCACTTCAGAGGTGCTAACTCCTGGCCCTCCTCACTCCAACCCCTCCCCCTCCCCGTGTCAATTAAGACCTATTCCCTCACTGGGGAGGTCCTCAGTCTGGGGCACACCCGGTGCCCCCCTCCCCCGCCCTCCATAGTTAGACCGACCCTTTGATGTCTCCACCTCTCCAATGGAGCGACCCTCAAGCAGAGATTGGCCCCGTCTCCTGCTGCTACTCTGACTCAGGCCCTTCAAGTACTTACATAAAGAGCTCACTGCCAGTCACCGAGAGCTCCCAAAGAACCATCCCACGGTAGAGGTCAGCACCTGGCAACAGGAACCTGAGGGCCACCTCGGCATCCACGTTAGACAGGAAGGGCACCGTGAGGGTGCTGGTGGAGTTAAGGTAAAGGCACCATCTACACGGGCTTTCTGATTCAGGCCCCCTTACCTGTCAGAAGCCAGTCTTCTGCCAGGTTGTCCCTCACCCTCAGGACACCCAAGACGCTCCGGGATGACCCTTAAAGGAACTCTGCACCACAGTCCTCCTCGGGCCACCCCGCCATGTCTCCAGGCCACCGCAGCTGCTTCTCCCAGCGACCCTGGGTCCCCATAATCCCCTTCCGTCCCACCAGAAGTCCACCCCGCTGCCACGAGGACCCGAAGCCTCTCCCGCCCATCCTTCTGCATCCCCTCACCTCCTGCCCACCCCCTCTCCCTTTACCTCCATGGCGCGAGGGACGGAGCTCCTCAAAAAGGATACAACTCCAGTACCTCACTTCCCAGGTCTCCGTCAGAGTCAGAGGCTTCTCCAGCCGGCCCTGAGTCCAGTGATGCTCTGTCGACCTGGGGATCTTCCCCGGCTGCAGCGCTTTCGGCTCCGGTGCTGTCCGCGTCTCCAGGGCCCATGGAGTCCCCTGGGCCACTGGGAGATTCTGCACCTGTCACCATGCTGTCCGAGCCTTCGTCATCATCGCGGCCGGGGGCCTGCATGGCCTTCCTGTGCCCACCACAGACCAAAACACACACGTTCCTCTCAAGGGTGAGCCACCAGACCCTCCCACAAAACCCTGCCCACCCTCCTCACCAGAGGTGGCGCCTTCGCACACAGAACTCGCGGGAGGCTCCTGGCAGGGGATTGGTTCCGACCAAGCCACACTTACCACACAGTCTGTCCAGCTGGGGTCCCTGGGGAGACCCTGTTTTGAGGGAGGCACGAGGTGCGCTCATGAAGCCCCGCCCCCCTTGCCTGAGGCCCCACAGGCCACGCCCATCCTGGAAGAGAGAGATTGTTCTGAGAGAACCTGGGGTGTTGAGTGGCAGAGGAGGTTCAGATGAAGGGGAGAAGAAAAATAGGGGTGGATGTGGCTGGGGAAACAGGGTCAAGACGTGGGCAGTGTAGCCTTGGAGGGCCACCATGGCTAGGACTTAGAGAGGCGTGCCCGAGGGAAAGAAATGGTCCGTGTCCCAGTGGGCCCTGTGTGTGTCTATTAGTAAACAGTGAGTGGCGGGTGGCATGCTGGGGGAAAATGGTCTTATTAAAATGTCTCTGCCAGCCTCAAACTTCTGGGATTCTGAGAATTATTAGTGTTTCTGAAAAACGTACCAATGAGCTCCTGTCCGCCAAGCAGCCAGTTCCCTCCGGCCAACTGAGAAACTAACTCACTTCCCCTGAGCATGGGCTCTGAAAGTGCCCAAGTGCCCACGGAGACACTCCCAAGAGATTAACTAGAACTTTCCACCCCCACGGCCTTGACAGCAGCTCCCAAACCATGCTGCTGCAGGCAGGCAGTAAGGGCTACCGCCTCCCAACCTCCCCCACATAAAACCAAAGACGGTGCAAAAACATCAGGGGAAGCATATGACTTCCAAGAAAAGGGTTCTCCCCGAAATTGGGAGGTCAGTAGTGGGCAGTGTCTTCATGGCTGGGCGTCATCCCATCGTGCAGGCCCTGCCTTCATGGCCTCATCTAAGCCCCATTTTCAAACACTATTTGCCCGGGGTCAGGGCTTCAATGTATTCCAATTATGCGGAAGAGAGGACTTGTACGTTCAGTGCATAGTAGCAGGGTGCACCTCACTGACTCCGTCTGTGTTTACGTGAATACTTTTGTTATGTGCCCCAGGCATGAACCAGCTCTGGCCACCAACACAGGCAACAAGCAACAAGCCAGGATGATCTAAGGACTGTACAACTGCTTTGCCCCTGACTGATACAAGAGCAACAGCACCAGCCAGGTGTGTCCTCGCCCATTGCCAGAGGGAACGTGGATATTTTTAACAGGGAGCCAAGGATTGAGGTGACCAAACATAGAAACAATGTCTGTACCGACTGACAATCCATGCTAGCTGTTCTGATGGGTATGACAGAGGAGGACCCAAGGTCTCACAGGTATTCCCAGCTGAGGCACAGGACAGAGGCAGTAAACTAAGATTTTGTGATCAAAAATTCTTTAAAGCAACTCAACTCTAAATGATAGGGGACTCAAGAGTTGGAAAATTTTAGCTTCAGGTAAAAAGTTATAAGCCTAGCAAGTAATGCATATGTTAAAGCTATTGTTTCAGAAACTACAGATAAGGCTGGTCCAGCCCACCTCCTGGGGCACTGGCTAGAGATTACCGCCTGGGAACAACTGGAGGCATCCGGGCCTTTGTCTTCTAGGGAGAGACAGATGACGACCTGCCCCTGGGAACAGCTAACTGCCCAGGACAGGAATGTTGCAGCTTCTTTCACCAAACCCTCCCTGAACCTCAAGGCCCTCACTGCACCTTGTTTATTCCCCATTATAAAAAGTCTAGCCTGGAATAAGAAGGGAAGATGGTCTGTTAGGGTATGAACCCACCATCTTCTCAGATTGCTAGCCATCTGAATCAAGTGCCCATAAAAATTCAAGTAATGTCATTGCTTATTGGATTTGGTAGTGACAGGCAGCCCAAACACTGGTTTCTTTTCTGGCTTCACAAATGCCCTCATTAAGCTGCAGGAATCAAAGCAGCTACGGAGGTCAAAGCCTCTGGTGAGTGTCATTCCACTTTCTCAACTTCGCCTCAGAGTGCCCCCTTCCCGTCCTTGGGCTCCCTGCCTGGAGGACAGTGCTTCCCCAGCTGGCCTCACTGGTGGTGTTGACTGCTCATGCTCCTGTGCCAGGCCCCACCTGTCACACCTCAGCCCAGGAGGTGACACAGGCCACGTCTAGGCTCCTCTCTGCTACTTCTGAACCGCCCTTCTACCTGCTGTTCTGGTTACTGCCCTTACCCAGCTCTGCTCTGTGCCTCAGAGGCTGCCCCACATGGATGGCACCACTCAGGAAGCGCCCTTCTTCAGGCTGCCAGTTGGGCTCAGCCAATGGAGGCCGCTGGCAAGAGACCAGAGGGTGGGGGGAGTGAGAACCAAGGGCATTTGTAGCCCCCTCCCCTAACACTCATCCTCTGAGGCTCCCTGCAGCTCTGGGAGGGGCTGCATTCCTCAGCTCTCACCAGGATGCAGTAGCAATCCTGGGCCCCCTACATTTAGGCCCAGGATTGCTATAGAGAAGGTGGCTTCCCTTGGAGCCTGACCATCCCTTGGTAGCTGTGGCATGCTGGCAAATGGTCGACAGCTTGTTCCCTGTGGTGTGGGGAGGGTGGTGGGATTGAAAAGCATGCATATACATGTGCAAATAGGTTTACTCTAATTCTAACTCTGTTATAATTCTCACTCACAAAGAATGTGTAGTACACAGTTTACAAATAATAATCAAATAGAACGATCTCTTCCTTGTAAATTTTATAGACTTCATGGATTCTCACAGATTGTTTTAGTTGGCGTTTGCCAAACCCTGAACTCAAACGTTGCTTGAGATCTTCATTCACGTTAATCAATGAGTGAGGCAGAAAGGAAACAACACAGACACACACCCATCAGCGACATACGCAACTTCTTTTCTGAGTCAAATAATAGTCTTAGATTGTGGCAGAAGCATTTCCCCCAAATGTTTATGCTACTCACACTGGAGCAGCCACAGATGGATGACACAGCTCGTCTTTTCGGTACAGCTCATCTTATTAGTAACATTTCCTCCATCACTTGCTTAAGCTAGGCCATCGACGAAACAATAAGCCGAGGCCTGATTTGTAGCATTTGCCAGTTTCTGTGGTGTCAATATTCTAACCCTGGCCAATTTCAAGCCACCAGCGGACATCGCGGAACAGTGTTGCAGAGAGACTGGCTCGCCTTTGTAGAGTTTTCCACCATACAGTTGCAATAGGCAAAATTAACAGCGAGAGCATGGGTGACAGTAACATGTAGCACAGTACTAGAAAATGAAGGGTTTTACCTTTTGAAAGTCTAATTCATTTCATCGTAAGTTCATATCATTGAAATTTGAATTATTATGCAAATAAATGACTTCTGCAGATCACTGTATAGCACCGTGCCTCCGGTCAACAATACTGAATTGGGTTCTTAAAATTGGCTACGTTAAGTGTGATGATAAGTATTCTTCCCACACATACACAAAAACATAATAAAAGGGTGGGAGGAAACTTTGGTTGAAGGTATGTCTATGGCCTTGATGGTGGTGAGGGTTGCCCAGGTGTGGGCTTCTCCCCAGCCTCATAGACGTGCATACATGAAATGTGCACAGCTTTTTACCTGTTAAACATAACTCAATAGAGTGGTTCAGAGAATAAAGTAAAAGAAGCCTCTCTTATTGGCTCCAGTGCACATCCAGCTCCCAAAGTTCTGATGATTTAACTCTCAGCTCTCCGGAGCCCACACGAGGCAACTCCCACTCACCACTGCTTCTTGGCCCCTTGGCCCTGCCTGCTCACACCCCTCTAGATGGTCTTTTCATTAAGCACTCCTCAGTTAAATACTTCAAAGGTTCCCACTTGTTTCCTGCTGGTGCCCTGGCTAGAGCTGCAGGGGTAGATGCAGGCATCTTAGAATTATTTGGGGTGTCCTCAAGTATCAGTCATGATTCATTCCCAGATATCTCAAACCTCTCTGGTGAGTTTTACCCAGGGAGTTTAACACAGAAAAACAGGAGCTTACAAAACAAACGAAGGGCTGGGAGAATGGAATGTAGGCTGAGGCTCTGGGAGTGACCCAGAACACCACAGTAATGACCTGCTTGGGGAGCCGGTGCTCAGGTCACAAGGAAGGGACAGATTCAGGAAGCTGCTGATCCACTGCCCGTTCCAGGAACACATACCCCTTGCTATGGTCCAAGTATCAGGAAGTGTTTGGGTTCCAGAGCCACACTGCAGCCACGAGATTTGCACGGGCCACTGGGGAGGATGCTGCACCTTTAACAGTGACCTCTCCAGAGGCAGGGTGAACCCTGACTGTAGCACTTGCTGATGGCCCTGGTGTATGCACACACACACTCCCACCACAGCCGATTTCAAGCTACCGCCATGACGTCTCTGAATGCCGAGCTGCTCGGAGATGCTGCTGAGCTGCTGTCACCAGCAGGGCCAAAGTGGCCCAGCGCACCACTGCACGCACCCTGCCTCTCATCACACTCACACACTCTGGAAATGCGAGCCCCTGCGACTTGCAGAAAGAACAGCCAGAAGCTGACTTCACCTCATTTTGCCTTCCGATTCACAGGCAAGTGCAATTAGCCCACCAAACCTGAACCACACCCACAACGCTAGTTCCAAAAGGAGCCAGGGAAGTGCAGGTTTTCATTCTCTGGTGTGCAC